GCTCCATGGGACTGGTATTTGCCGATCAGTTGGGGTGGTGCCAGGGGGGTCAGACTCTGGGGCGGCAGAACTTGGAAGTCCCATCGGTCGTGTATGGGTTGGCGGGTTATTCCTATAGGGGTTCAATGTACCGGCGGCCGCTGGATGCGCTGCTTGGCTTCATGCCGGAGGAGCATCACGCGCATGCCGGAGCATGACGCATCTGCGACATCTGAAATACGCGCCACGGACCGCGATGATCGAGCAACACTTACTGAGCCAAGAAAAAGAGGTCGACACAACGGTCAAAACATGAAGAGGATCTCAGTGTTTGAATCTCAGTACCGGCCTCCTTACCCTTCTCCAGCAGAAGCGATTGGTGCCCAATTTCCTTGGTGCATCTGACAAAACCGACTTAGTCTTGTGAGAGGCGTCGGAACCAATGACATTCACATGAGATCGCTCCTCCAAAGCCCTAACATGTGTTTGGCTTTTTCTGCCGCAAACCAACTGGTGAGTGTGTTCATAACCAAGTTCGACCTGTACCCAGTTTTGGACCTATGCCTATGCCATATACCTGAGGCTTCTTCAGCTTGGCAATCTGACTTATTGCAGACTTAACTTAACTCCAAGCTTTGTCAACAGATGGCCGAATAGCCACAGAGAGCCATGGAAGTGCAAACACGAAAGCTATTGGGCTTATGCCCATGAAATGTGCAAAACACAACTCCTTCTTGAGCCCATGTTTGGGCTGCCGCGTGCGTGCGCCAAAAACCAAATCTTGAGGTATACGGTATACGGAATTCTTGGGACCATGTTCGGCATTTACAAGGTATACTTAACTTGAGAATCTACTAGCTGCTTCCGTTCGGGGTGACCTGGCTGGACGGGCCCCTTAGCTTTTTCCGTTCGGTCACCAAACAGGACACCAATGTCCAGGAAGCGCTAGGTATACCCTGGAAGTCCAAGTCGACTATACTTTCCCTTAGTGAGGTTTTCAGGATGGTCAAGGACATTCCCCTTAGTCTTTTGACTCGCAGGGTATACACCCAAATGATTTAGGGTCTCCCCTTGACTCATCTTGCGGATCGGTCCGCTCTTCGGTTCATCCGGCATTAGACCTACCCAAACGCGACCTGTCTGCCATAGGACTGCCTTCAAAACGGCCAGGGCTGGTGGTTTGGGGGTCAATGGGGCAGCATATGGCAGTCCCATGCGTCGTGTATGGGCTATAGGCCAAAAGCGATTCAGTTGGTTCCAGTGAAGTGGACGTTATAATGTCGAAGTCGATCGTCTCTGAATTTCTCGGACGAACGATTCTCCCAATCATTCCGATGTTCCCAATCAACGGCACAAAGGTTCATAGATGGATTGAAGTTTGAAGCAAAAATGATGTTCACATAATTCCATACTGGTGCCCGTTGAAGTAAATACATTTTGCATCTGGGATACTAAACCATAATGGAACGCCGATTTAAAAGTCAGCACTTAAGTAACCATTGAATAAAACCATGCATGTAGAAAACATCTTCCAGCACACTCTATCCTGCAAGTAAACGCTATGGTGTTTCGACTTCCTGGTTTGCTCATCACCTTCTATATCTGCTTTTTGAACAAAAACACGTCTCGACTTCAACAACTGGCAGTATACCCTAGAAGTCCAAAGACTATATTTTGACCGACTGAAGTTAAGGAAATTCCTGGACTTGGCTCACTTAAAGACCATGACCATTCTGTTTATATAGTCTTTGACTCGGCATATATCGAAGGATGATGAGCAGTATTATATATATACTCGTATGAGCGCGGCAACTCTGTTGGACCCACAAACCTTCCTAGCTCTGTCTGCTCGGGCCTGGACGTGGCACTCCTCGGGGCCACGAAGGGCTGTGCCTCGGGAGGTCCCCCAACGGCTCGGAATGGCTCGGGCGCCGGTTGAGAATCTTTTCAAGGTAAGTGAGTCTGGTTTTAAGGTATCTGGGTCAAGGATTGAGAAGGATTCTTTTTGAACAGTTTCTCCAGCTCTGCACCCCAGTTCCCACTTTCTGAACGAAGCTACGACTGGAGCCCGTCGACGGGTATATGTTGTGCTTTGGATTCCTGGAGCGTGACATGTCTTAGACCTCTGAGTCTTGAAGGCATGTTGTATGTATAGCCACCGGATAGGTCAGCTCACACTCAAAAAAGCAGTGGAAGCGGTGGGGAAGAAGCAGAACCGCTCGTCACTTGGTCGAAGCATGCTGTCTCTGCATGAGACTGCATAGCTAGCACAGCTCGGACACTCAGTGGAAACCAGCTAGATGTCCTTTGAAGAACTGAACTTCTGGCAATATAAAATTCATTACAATTCTCAACGAAGTGCCAAGTGCCATGTGCCATGTACCCAAGGAATCGGCCACTTGTTCCAGTGTGACATTCATCCCGCAAATGTACCCAGTGCATTCCTCCAAGATCCTCGTCTGGACCCGCGCACTGAACCGACCGAAGGCGGGCCGAACCGCACCCCGCACCGAGGCGCAGTGGGGGAGGATCCCCAGTCGAACGGGACCTGGCCAACAGAGATGGTTCAGAACCCGAACGTTCGACGAACTCCCAGTTAGGTACCCCAGTAAGGTCCTAGTTCAGGTCACGTTCCACCTCTGAGCAGTTTTGGGACACCGGACATTTGCACCTTCCACCATTCACCGAAGAGGTGTGGCGGCTTCGGCGGGGTGTACCCGAATTGATGAGGCAAAATAGATGCAAATTGATGTGCAATTCACAGATCTGGACATTCCACGGGTGTGTTTTTTTTTCTGCCGTTGGGCGAAACATCACACATTTCAGTCGTTTGCCGTCAAAAGCGCCGTTTCAATTTCAAAAGTGCCGTGTCGATGTTTTTACAGAGATTGCCAAATTAGCAGTTGGCAAAAGTCGCTGTTTGGTCGGGGGAAGTCGCCGTTTGGTCGGGAAAAGTCGCCGTTTCAAAACCTTGACTTAGCATAGAAAACATGTCAATGCAAAAAGTGCTTCAGTACAAAATAGTTGGCGTTTGTTTGAAAAAGCAGTTTTGATTGAAAAGGCAGAAAAACTGCATACTTATGAAGACCGCGCGTACATACCTGGACCTTCCAACGACATGCAACAATTTTCCACCTTTTGGCTGATTTTAGAGATGAACAAGGGAAAACACATGTCACAGTTGGAAGATCCAGGTACCAGCAGTCACAAGACGGGGTGCCGAACTTGGAGGAAGTCGGGGTATCCCTGTCACATCCACAGCCCCTGGATAGGACTAAACACCCTTTCTTGGTCCGTCAAGTCCGGGATTTTGTGAGACACCCCAGACGTCTGGATGAGACCTCGGAGAACGAATTGAGAAAGATTGTGAGGAGATCCAGTTTTTGTTGGTTGGTGCTCAGGGCAGCCAGGCAAACCACTGTAACCAGTGGTTCCAGGTCGACTAAAACCATAGACCGAACGAATCCCTGGTTCCTTATATAGTGGTTTGTCTGGGATGCACTGGGGTGGGGTGCTCTTCTGATTGGCATGTGGCACGAACGAACTGACGACGAGCAGAGCACCCAGAAGAGCACACCCTCCAAGGCCCTGGCTGCTGGAAATGACATCCTTTATTGTGGATATGATCTTGAACAAGGCCTTGATCTTGAACATGTTGAAACACTTTAGTTGTCGAAATGAGGCAATTCGATCCAGGGTTTAGACATGTTGTCGACACATTGAAAACCACATGACCAAATCCGCTGGCTGCCTATCGTCTGAAGCAACCAAAAAGGCACCCCCAATGCAGCCGGGCCACAGTCTCCCCGCAACTCTATCGATCACGAGGAAGTCTTAGCGTGGCCATCCTGACAAGGCCGCGTGGCCCAACACAGCATTCCAACGGACAAATTCATAAAGTTCAATTCACGGCGTGGGCTGGACCTGGCCCCAAAGAGGATCCAAAGCCGTGGAGGCCTTTGGAACCCCGCCGTGGAGCAGTTTCATGGCTGGCGATCAATTCTGATTCAGCTCATGGTCCGACTCCGGCCGCTGCCCAGCACCGCTCCCTTGGGACCTCTTGGACGCTGCTGGTTTGTGTTCCTAGCACTGACACAGTCCGGGTGCCCTGGAGGTCTGGAGACCTGTATAGGGTCGGGTAGGGTAGTCAAGCGCCAGGACACCCATTGGATCATCCTGTCTGGTTGTCCTCAAGAGCACCCAAAGACTTCACCAGAGTGAGCACCCAAAGACTTCACTAGACTCAAGAAAAACTTCTTACAGGTCCATGTGCGACTTCAGATTGACTTCAAGAAGTTGCCCCAATGATTTCGAGATGAAATGAATAATTTTAACGAACACACACACACAAACAAAAAAAACACATGCATAGCCCCGCGGCGAATGTCTTCAAACTCAGACCTCTAAATTCTCCCCGTGTGGCTGCCTGTTTTCCTGGCAGCGTATAGCAGCCTGCCTGAAGCCAACGCCTTCTCCTCGCCTTCGAAAGCAAAGACCAAACGTAAAGGCGAGCAAAGGCCACCAACATCCACATACTCATTCGAACCACCGAGCTGTTTTACGTACCAAACGATTTTGGCACTTACACCATCGAACCACCACTGGTCGACTGGTGCTCCTTCCCATTGCAAAGGGGCATCACTCCAGAGTCACCCCTTCAGATCATGAGTCCACCGCCCAGGACCGACCCCTAAGAACCCTACATAGGCTCCAACTAACATCAACTAGCTACCGAGAAGATGGGCCAGGGGTGGGTGCCAGGGGGGGTCCTAGGATATGCTTGGAGGATTACGGAAAGATCGAACAGGCTGGCCCAACATCGATGGTCGGACGCCGAGAAGAACCATTCTTCATCATGCTTCTCTCCTCTCATTGGTCTCCCCTGTTGCAGAACTAAAGCACCATCAATCCCCCAAACAACCCGTTGAATGTCTTCGTTTCTGGATGTCCTCCTTTCCACCAACGACCAACCTTGGTGCGATCCTCGTCCACCGTCCCTCCTTCCTCCGCACTCGTGGCCTTCACAGCCGAAGGCGAGTGGACTCGTTGCTGCGGGCCTCGGGGCGAGCCGCCGACTGGTGGACACCGATGGAATCGGTGGAGTCTACCACCAAAGTCTAACAGAAACCATGTGAGCGGAGATGAGGAGGCATTGATTGCGTCCGAACTGCCGGAAAGGTGGACAATGGACCTGTTGACAACGAGCGGTTTGCTCCAAAACCAGCTCCTGAGGACTGGTGGACATGAACCTGTTGACTGAGGAGTTGGTGTTTGCAGCAACATGATGCAACACGTCTCCGTCTCCGAACGAAGACCGGGAAAAAAAACACGCTCTCAGATCATCCGACGCGTCAGAAGAAGTGCCCCCGCATCTTCCAGTGCTTCAAACGGTCGAAAAATCACCCTGAAAGACAAAGGTCCTCAGGTAGGCTCTCAGTCACCCGGCCTGGCTGTGACCATTTGTGTTTGTGAAACACATTGACTATTGTAATGGACACCAGGTAACCTATACCTTATAGTGACCATTCGTGACGGGGTGCAAATGGACTCTCAAAGCACCCGATATGAACGACACCAGCCATGCGATGGTTGTCAGACTAGTGATCCTGAAGAGGAGTTGCCAGGTTTTAAGAAGAACCAAAGACGTCGGGATGCTTTTCGTGCTATTCTTCCACTTCCCAAGAAAAGGAGCAAGAACACATCAAGTCAACAAACATGGCACTGTAGTACTGTACCGTGAGACTTACCGCGAGAAGACCTACTATCTATAGTATACAATGAATCAATGCACTTCCATGGACGACCACCCAGCTCCGCCAGAAACGTACCAGGCAATTAAGCAAAACCACCCAAATACTCCATATGAGACTGGCAGTCCGGACTACCGAGAAACGGCCAGGGGTGGTTGATTGAAAAGGGGTCAATGTATGGAGCATATGCCAGTCCCACTAGTGGTGTATAAAAAACACATGTGAACGAGACGTGTTGGAGAACCTTCACCGGACCCAGCATCTGTTGACTCAGCTTTTGGACCTCTGGACCTCTGGACCCCTGGATGTCTTTGAAACGATCTCCGATGAATTCTAAAAACATGGTAGACGAATGTGAGCAGAATATTTGTAGCAGCTTCCAAACCGCTCTCCGAACGTCCTGTCCATAAAGAAATCATGGACGATCCTCTGTCTTCAGTCAAGCTGTCGAGATGGATGATGAGTCTGGAGAAATGGTAGTGCCAAGCTCACTTGCCTTGCCAACGACTGAATTGTGGACTTCCCACCACCATTGCCTGGTGGTCTCACATGAATAAACTAGTTTGGCTTGTTTCGGGTACTAACCAAAAATACATTCATGCTCAGTGATGATCAATGTTTGTCAGTGTTCTGCAACTCCCATATTGTGTCAAATTGTTGAGGCAAGTCGCCAAACTCGATGGTAAGTCTGCAGCCATTGTAGTCTCAGCCTCGCTCACCTGCAAGAACTCCTACTCAAGGAATCCCACTAAAAACGTTTTCTCGTGCTTGATCCTCGGTCTATCCTGGTGACCGTTCATCAAATGCTGCTACACTATTCCTTTTAGTCAGTCAAGGGAAGATCACGTCTGTCTACCATATGAGGGCTCAATTGGCAGAAAAAAGGCTATTAAAGTGTATAATGCGGAAATATATTGTGAAGGCAATCCTGCCAACCAAAGAATTCCCAGAAACACGGTTTTCTCGGCAAACGCGTCCAATGATCTTGTTCAGAACTTTCTTTGGAGCACATCACAAGCTAAAGAGTGTGAGCAGAATATTTGTAGGTTTTTGTAGCGCCTTCCAAACCGCTTTGCATAGGTTCTGTCCATAAAGAAATGATGGACAATTCTCTGTCTTCTAACAAGCTGCCGAGCTGGATGATGTGTCTGGAGCAATGGTGGTGCCAAGCTCCTTTGCCTTACAATCAACTGAGAAGGTATAGTTAGATGAATCAGAAATGAATCAACTACTTTGGCGTCTGCATTAGGGAGGTCGCTGCTTGGAATGCTTCACAAGCTTGTTGTCAGGTACTAAACAAGTGCATTCATGCTCAATATGCTCAATGTTTGTCAGTGTTCTGCAACTCCAATATCGTGTCAAATTAAATTGAGGCAAGTCACCAAACTCGATGATGAGTCTGGGGCCATTGTAGTCTCAGCCTCGCTCACCTGCAAAGAACTCCTACCCGAGGAATCCCAAGGAAAACATTCTCTGGTGCCTGATCGTCTATTGCCGTAACCATTCATCAAATGCTGCTACGCTATTCCTTTTAGTCAGTCAAGGGAAGATCATGTCTGTCTAGATCTGTCTAGCATATGAGGGCTCATTTGGCAGAAAACAACATGCCATCAAAGTGCAGCATGTGGGAATATATTGTGAAGGCAATCCTGCCAACCACTGCCAACCCAAGAGTTCCCAGTAACACTGCTTTCTCGGCAAAAACGTCCAATGATCTTGTTCAGAACTTTCTTTTTGGAGCACATCACAAGCAAACGAATGTGAGCAGAATTTTTGTAGCACCTTCCAAACTCCTCTCCGGATGTCCTGTCCATACAGAAATGATGGACGATCCTCTGTCTTCAGTCAAGCTGCCGAGCTGGATGATGAGTCTCGAGCAATGGTGGTGCCAAGTTTGCTTGCCTTACGACCAAGTGCAAATGTAAAGCTGGATTAGTCAGAAAGAAGTCAACTAGTTTGGCATCTGCAACTGGGAGGTCGCTGCTTGGAATGCTTTGACAAGCTTGTTGTGGGTTAGTTACAAACAACCTGCATTCATGATCAATGTTGCTCAATGTTGGTCAGTGTTCTGCAACTGCCATATCTTTGAACATTGTTTAAAGCAAGTTGCAAAACTCGATGAGGAGTTGGCAGCTATTGTAGTCTCAGCCTCGCTGACCTGCAAAGAACTCCTACCCGAGGAATCCCAAGGAAAACATTCTCTGGTGCCTGATCGTCTATTGCCGTAACCATTCATCAAACGCTGCTACGCTATTCCTTTTAGTCAGTCAAGGGAAGATCATGTCTGTCTAGATCTGTCTAGCATATGAGGGCTCATTTGGCAGAAAACACGATGCCATCAAAGTGCAGCATGTGGGAATATATTGTGAAGGCAATCCTGCCAACCACTGCCAACCCAAGAATTCCCAGTAATTAGCACTGCTTTCTCGGCAAAAACGTCCAATGATCTTGTTCAGAACTTTCTTTTTGGAGCACAATCACAAGCTAAAGAGTGTGAGCAGAATATGTGCAGCACCTTCCAAACTGCTCTCCAGAAGTCCTGTCCATACAGAAATGATGGACGATCCTCTGTCTTCAGTCAAGCTGCCGAGCTGGATGATGAGTCTCGAGCAATGGTGGTGCCAAGTTTGCTTGCCTTACGACCAAGTGCAAATGTAAAGCTGGATTAGTCAGAAAGAAGTCAACTAGTTTGGCATCTGCAACTGGGAGGTCGCTGCTTGGAATGCTTGACAAGCTTGTTGTGGGTTAGTTACAAACAACCTGCATTCATGATCAATGTTGCTCAATGTTGGTCAGTGTTCTGCAACTGCCATATCTTTGAACATTGTTTAAAGCAAGTTGCAAAACTCGATGAGGAGTTGGCAGCTATTGTAGTCTCAGCCTCGCTCACCTGCAAAGAACTCCTACCCGAGGAATCCCAAGGAAGCATTCTCTGATGCCTGATGGTCTATTGCCGTAACCATTCATCAAATGCTGCCATGCTATTCCTCTCAGTCAGTCAAGGGAAGATCATGTCTGTCTGGTACTGTCTGGCCTTTGTGGGCTCTTCTGGCAGAAAACAACATGCTATCAACATGTAGCATGCGGACATATATTGTGAAGGCAAACCCGCCAACCACTGCCAACCCAAGAATTCCCAGGAACACTGCTTTCTCGGCAAAAACACGTCCAATGATCTTGCTCAGAAATTTCTTTGGAGCACATCACAAGCTAACGAATGTGAGCATAATTTTTGTAGCACCTTCCAAACTGCTCTCCGGATGTCCTGTCCATAAAGAAATGATGGACGATGCTCTGTCTTCAGTCAAGCTGCCGAGCTGGATGATGAGTCTTGAGCAATGGTGGTGCCAAGCTCGTTTGCCTTACAACCAACTGCAAATTCAAAGCTTGTGGATGTCCTCCCACCCTCACCAGTCTCTGATGAGGCAGGCAAAAACAACATGATAAAATCATAAAACATAATATACATATATATATATATGATGTGCTGTGCTGTGTGTGTTTGAAGGACATGCAAAGAACAGCCAAGCTATGAATGACTTTCTTGGAGCCTCCCTGGTCAGTTTGACCCTCACAACCCGCTCTTCACGCCCAGTCGCCCATCCGCTCGTTGTCTCAGCTTCACTCGCCTGGCATCCGCTCGCCGTGCCCAGTCGTTTGGCGTTCGCGTCACCGGTCGTTGGTGTAATTTGGATCCAACACACTCCGAAAAAATGGCAGATTTGTCTACATTAGGGTGGGTTTAAAAGGGGTCTATGTCGGCGGTCAATGTAGGTATATGTTCCATACACGATGAAATCACCTGGAGTTTTTGGGTCACCAATACCGGCTCCCATGTCGGGGTGCCTCAAGCGGAACAAAGGGTGAGCCAGTCTTTCGATCGACTGGACTTCATTGAGCGGAGGCCATGTGCACCAAACCATGGCTCCAATCTCTTGTCAGTCGAACTGGACTTCTATACCAGGACCCTCCAACAGGCTCTTTGGAGACCCTAACAGGTGGTGAACCTGGGCACCTGTTGTCACCAGGAAGCACTTGTGAAGTCGGGTGCTGGTAGAGGGTGATCAGCTCTTCCCAAAGCACCGCGAGCTTCACGAGCTTCACAGCTCAAAGAGATGGTCCAGCATCCGAATCGGCGACTGTCAGACCTTTTCTCTGGAAGTACTCACCAAGAGAGGTGGAAGTCAGTGACCTGAACTAGGACCCTAGTAGTGGGTTACCTATGGCATGGTAGTTCGTCTAGTTCGGGTCCTTCAACCTCTGTTGGCCTCTCCACGACGTCACCCTCCGCTTCAGGAGCTCCCGTCGACCGCCGACGCCGTCCGCGACCCCCACCTGAGCTGCTTGGCCCGGCCTCAAGGACAGGGTGCCGACGCCCGGCGGTGCCCGCGACCCATCTCCCAGCGCCCGGCGGAGGAGTGCCAATTCGAAGTGCCGAGAAACTCTCGGCCAGAGGTGGTGGTGGTTTGGGGGGTCAGACTCTGGGGCGGAAGAGCGATTGTAATTCGTCCCAGACAGGTCGTGAAATCGGAGACCTGTATAACGACATCGGAGGAACAATGGCACCATGTGATGTTGTGCTGGCGCAGCACCTCCCAGACGCGACCCTGGTCCCTCATATGGAGGGGTCTGGGGTTTCTCACCAATCCCGATCGGTTTTGAGGGACCAGTCGGGCGTCGTTCACGGAGCGTCTGGGTTCATCATCACATGGCGCAGCACTCCGATTCGGGCTGACGTGTTTTTTCGGTCGCAGGTGGTGACCTGGCAGTGACAGGACCGAGGGTCCTGGTAGATAGTACTGGTGGAATTGGGTTCGTTGGTGTCATAAGAGTGTTGTCAATGTGTCGACGTCCTTCTTGTTTGGCATGGCTTAGGACATCTTACCTGCAAGTTGTTTGGGGTGGGTTTAGAGGGTCCAAATACCTTCTGAGGAGGTACTTGGAGCCCTAGGGTTACACTATATAGGCCAAGGGACAGCATCTTGGACACTACGGACGGCACCCGCGTTGTGCCGGCATCACCTGCTTCGCGCCAGCAGCAGCGCGCCAGCAGCGGCCGGGCCAGGAGAGGTACGACGGGTCGCTGACCCATACCCTAAAGCTTCAGTTGCGGTCCTTAGACTTAGGAGACTTAGGACCCGACTGACCCAGTCCTCTAGAAAATGGTACCTGAGAAAATCAACAGGGTATACAGGTCATACAACACGCTTCGACTCTAGGTACTTAGACCCTCCTAGCCATCTGTAGCCACCTTCTCAGGTCTATGTAGGCCTCAGGTGCTCAAGCACCTGATTAAGCGAGGATCAAGGGGGTAGCAAGGAGGTCTAGGCCACCAGATGCTACTGGCACCTTGTCCGTTCTAGAACCTTGTCCAGCGAACGAATCCAAGAGCACAAATGCTGGTGCTCTTTCTTGAAAACATGTCTGACAGCAAATGCTTCAAAGAAAAGGATTTCTTGTATCCCGGGGTCACATGTCGGGGTGGTTTCTAGTCCCATCCAGTGAGTGGATGTGACAGGGGCACTTTGGAACTCCTGGGTTGGTCTATCCTAATACCTGGTAGCAGTGGATGATGATGGTTAGGTTGCAGGCCTTGTTCAAGAATAGTGATGCTCTTGTTCTGCTGACTGTTGCAGGTCAGAACGGACAGACCGTCAGCAAAAAACACCTACCCTTTCTAAGGATCCGCACCCGAAACAAAGGCCCAAGGGTTGGGTTCGGGGCCCCCACCCTTGTTATACCAAGAGAGGTGGTAGCCAGTGACCAGGTCACTAGGACCTTGGGTTACCCAACCGGGATAGGCGAACATATAGGGTCCTGACCCACCTCTGTGTACTAGAGGCTTCAACCCCTTCCGTTCCAAGGATACTGGACCCGACACGAACCGCACGACTGGACCCGCACGGACCGCACCACCCGTTGTGGTGTCCTGGCGCTTCACTACCCCACCGGCCGTTCGGCTTCCAGACAGGGCACCCCGACTGAAGGGTCCTGGTAGAGCGTGAATGTACATCAGTGAGATTCCATTGAATGAGACTCATGCCGGCGATGAGCTGGAATTGCTCGAATTGCCACCGCCCTGAACCATGTTTCTGATATTTTTTAAACATTGTACACAGCCTACACCTCCAGCCGTACCTCCTCAGGTTCGGTATGACTGGACCCTCCAAATGCACCCCCAAACACCACCTTCACCTCAGGTTCGGTACAACTGGGAGGCAAAACGGGACACACTGTCTCACACAAAGACGAAGCCGAAGCCATCCACGGCCAGCCCAGCCCGGGCGCCCTGCCTTCGACCGCCGGCCGCGGCCCAGCACGCGGCGGTGCGCGGCAAACGCACAACCTCCGCGTCTCGCGATGAGACGCCTCGCCTCGGAGGAGAAGGACACATCCCGGGTCAAGACACGGCGTTTGGAGAGGCATGTGCACGTTTTATGATGTGTTGTGTATATATGTTTGATGTTTGATCAACAAATCAAGTTTAATATGTCTATAGATTAATTATATGTGAAATCAAAACACATCAGGCATCTTCACCTACTACGATGTCGGATGGTTGCTTTAGTTTGATGCTCTTGACCCGTGTCCAACATGTTGTGGTCATACTCGCTTAACAGGAAAACAAGCACCTGCCCGAGTCAGTCAACCCCCCTTCTCCTCTACCCAGTGGATTTTCTTTGTCCATCTATCCGACTTTGCATCCTCATTAGGGGAATGTTGTTAGCTCACTGAACAGAAGCCGAATCATCAGCAGTGAGACAGGTGCTTCACTCACACACCAAGTCAGGAATTCCACTGGTCTCTCTGGGTTAGCCGGCGGCTATTGAATGCCTATCTTTGAGACTCCAAGTCGACATCCACATGCACATCAGGTGAGCAGGGAGACTCTTTGACATCGCCAAGGTCGGTCGACCAGCACTCACATCTCTGGGATTCGGTCTCATTCTGGGTCAGAACCTCTAGTTCGACTATCCCAGGACTGGGTACCTTCGCTACTTCCGGGTCCGGCTCGTTCACGTTCCACCTCTCTGGGTGACGCCCATGCCCGGCCATGCCCCGGTGGGGTCGGCTGCACCACCCGAGGTCTGCCAGCCGAAAGAGAGGCAAAGGCTGACACTTCTGCGAATCAATGGCAACTTCTGCGGTGCCGTCGATTCTGGACGGATGCTTCATCACAGGCTGGATATGATGTTCATGATTGTACATACCAAAAAACAGCTCCAAAACAGCTCTTGGTTCCTGAAAACCTAAGAATTCGAGGGTCCAAACCCCTCCATATATGAGGGTCCGGCCCCTACTTAGGAGGGTCCATGAGCGTCTGGGATCGTCTGGGTAAGACAAAAATGGAGAGACTGAGAAACATGTCCATGCTTATTGGAATGTGTCAGAAACCATTGATAGACCCAATAGATCATGAGGCTATGGTTAGAAACATTGAAAATGATCGCAAAATCAGTCGATTCTTTTAAAGCATCCGTGTGCTCTTCCCGACCCCATTGCCCGCAACAGGCAACTCCCCTCGCAACCCAGGCAACCCATGCCCATGCCCATCGCTGGGTGCGACCCATTTACAAGTGATGGGATAATGCAAGATGTCGCCGTTGTAGAGACAGGCCTCGTCCGATGTCGAGACTCGGCTCGCAAGCCCTGTCTCGCGCTGGCTGTGGTCTGGGACATTCATCTGGACCAGGTGTTGACCAGCGCTCATGTCACACAGAAAACAACCATAAACAACCACAAGGGCCCCCTGTTTCACCTGTCCAAGGGGTGTCGCTCCTGAAAGAGGTGATTCCGGGTATCCATGAACCACCCCTTACAGTAGGGGAGTAGGGGGCCTGGAAGAGCTGCACACGAACAAGAGCTCACTATCCCACTGCCAAGCTCATCGTCAAAGGACGCTGGATCTGCCGCAGACAGATGTTGAAGTGAAGACGAACTATTAAACTCATGTTGTAGGCCAAAACCTGGTCTTAAATCCTTTATAGCTAGCAGTTCAGTTCCAATCCCCCAAAAAATGGATCATCCATTCGAGGTCTTGGCCTGCTCAAATTCTGGACAAGCCAATTGATCCAAGTGCATGTACGTTAACTTCTTCGCGCGAGCAGCGCGCCTTCGCACTCGCGCCTTCGCGGAACCGATGCGTAGATCACGTATCTGGATCCGGTACCGGTGTCCGAAAGTATAGCTTAAGTGCCAGCAGTCACAAAGGGGTGGTGTTTAGTCCCTAAGTGAGTGGATAATGGGCACCCCTAACCTCCATTAAGCACCCCTTTGTGACTGCTGGTGTGTTTTCTTCTTTTGAAGGCTCAAGTGAGAAGTGCCGGACCAACCCGACGTCCCTATAGTCAACACCTCGAACCCCTCGGGGGAACCCGGTCGACGCGACCCGGACCGGTGGACGCGACCGGCGACGCCAGGGCGCCCCGTAGGATCGGCTGCTGCGAAGGCTGGCCACGGCGGGTTGGTCGGAGCCTTGCGGCGGGACAGGGGCCGGTCGCGGAAGGAAGAGAACCGGGTCGGTCTCGGAGCCCGGTTCTGTCTGGAGGACCTGGTCGACCGTAGGGTATAGTGGGTCTCGGCAGGACACCCATGTCCAGGATGATGTGAGCCAAAGGGTCGCGTCTGGGCGCGACCGGTGTCCGTTTGAGGGTTCACCCCGTTTGGGGGGCCGAGGGTACTGAACGAAACACGTGTTTCAGGATGGTTCCAACCCTAGGGCTCCAGTCGTACCTTCTAAGGTTTGGTGGGACTGGGGGCCCGGGTGCCATGTTCGGGTCCAAAGCCAGTCATACCTTCTCAGGAGGTACAACTGGAGCCCTAGGGCAAGTATGTCCAAGTGCTTTTATTTCACCGGCTGCGGCTGCATCGGCCTTTGTGTGTTTTCAACTGGACACATTTCGTCCGTCAGATGGACAACGAGGAAGACAAAGACAAAACACCTCCAAAAAAAATAGCGGTTCCAAAGAACTTGGGCGCTTGATGGTGCTTGGGAGACAAGAACTCCTTCTGTTGGTGATCGTTTTCAGATGAAGTTGCTGCTGTCAGGTCGCTGTCAGGTCGAGCTACACGAAGCAACGGACTCAAAAGATCTGAAATCTGAAGGAAATTCTTCAGAAGAAGAACATGTTGCCAGCAGTCACAAAGGGGTGCGATACATGGAGGTTAGGGGTGCCCAGCTACTCCACTCACTTAGGGACTAAACACCACCCCGTCTTGTGACTGCTGGTTGTTTTGTTTTTTCTCATTGAAACATGGACTTGTTCGAAACTTGTGGGCAAATGTGGGCAAGAATCATCATCATCTGAGAACAAACAACACCATTCAACATGTTTCTCCCCAGGATGCTGCAGTTGACTACCTGCTAGCGCTACCTTTTTCCCCGCCCAAAACGACCGCCAGAGCCTCCCCTCACCCGCGGAAGACTACCAGCTCCCGATCGCCGAGCAGGCGTCCGGAGATGGCGCGGGCGCAGGCGAAGAGATCGTTCACACATCGGACGTACATCACCTGGAGCTGTCCAGGACACCTGAAGCCTGCAAACAATGAAATTAAACATTGGTTAGGATATGTTTAATGGATATTGACCCTAGGGAAAGAAAGAATCACTAGGTTAGAGGATTTAACCATATTTAACCATATCCCAGACGCTCCATGTATGGAATTTATGTCTACATTGACCCCCCCGGCACCACCCCAACTGATCGGCAAATATGGCAGTCCCATGGAGTGCCTGGGATAAAGAGACAAATAGAAAAAACATCACCTTAAGCAAAACCAGGATCACCGTCCAAGCTGGCTCCCCCGGGCAGCTTTCAAAGGCATCTGTTCCAATGTACCGCACCGAGTGGGGGAGGGTCACGTTCGCCAAGGAGCTACATCCTTGAAAGGCGGCTTCCTGAATGCAAATCACCTTGGATTGGCAGGAGCCTTGGCAAAAAACAAGATTTCATAGGGTGTTCCAGGCCCGAACCAATACACATAGGGTTCTTGCCAAAGGTCCGAGCCCTGCTATCATGGAGAGTCCAAGGATTCAGAATGGGATACATCGATGTTGCGTTGGGGGATTTAACCATATACTATGGATCCACATACCTTCTCAGAAGGTGTTTGGAGTGGGTTCCAGGAGGGTCCAGATACCTTCTGAGGAGGTACTTGGAGCCCTAGGGATATATAGGGAAAATACACAAAAAACACCTTAAGCAAAACCAGATCACGGAGTTGGGAATGGACAACTTCGCCAGAGAGCTGCAACCCTCGAAGACACTGGTCTGAATGTGAGTCACAGAGTCTGGGATGGTCAAGTTCGCCAAGGAGGTGCAGTTTCGAAAGGCACCCTGCCCGATGTGCGTCACTGAGTTCGGGATGGTCAACTCGACCAAAGAGCTACAACCAGCAAAGGCATCATTCCCAATGTGTTTCACTGAGTCTGGAATGACCAAGCTGGCCAAAGAACTGCAGTTTGAAAAAGCAAACGCACCAATGTGGGTCACAGAGTCTGGTATGGTCAAATTCTTTAAAGATATGCAATTCCTAAAGGTCTCCAGACCTACGTGCGTCACGGAGTTCGGGATGGTGAGGTTCACCAGAGAGCTGCAATTCCAAAAGGCTCCCACCCCTGTCTGTGTCACCGACCGTGGGAGGGCCAGGTTCACCAAAGAGATGCAACTCCGAAAAGCATTGATCCCAATGTGGGTGACCGAGTCAGGAAGCGTCAAGCTCTCCAAAGAGCTGCAATACTCAAAGGCGCCATTTCCAATGTGGCTCACAGAGTCGGGAATCACTAAAGTGCTCAAGGAGCTGCAATTCCTAAAGGCACCATCACCAATGTGGCTCACGGAGTCTGGGATGAACACTTTGGCCATCTTCGTGCAGTTTTCAAAGGCGGCCTCCGCGACGTAGCGCTCCGACATCGGCAGCTCCACGATGAGAAACAAATCGGAAATCTCACTGCTGAAGCGGGCGATGGTTTCCTTGTTGGAACATCTCACCTTAAAGGGTGGCTTGAAAACAACCATCACAGACTCTGCATCTGCAAGCCCAAGATCTGCCAACTTCTCCTCATTTGCGAGCACACGGTCTCCGAGCACAAGCTCAACCACAGTGGTTCTGCGAGTCATCTCGTCCCAGGTCCTACCTGCCATCTCTTTAATCTGTACCTTGAGCTCCCCACTGGTGGTCTCTGGCATCACTTCAAACCACACCTTCTCGCCGTTGACCTGCAGTGCAGAGATTCTCATCGCCATGGCCACGCGGCCGAAAAAGCGATGGCTTGGTGGCGATGGCTTGGCCGCCTTGCCTTTTTGCTTCCCTTGTCAAATTGCTGGTGGTTCATGAGGTGATCAATCTGCTCTGCCTAGCATTCGGTGCTTTGGTCAGCTCGGTCCAATGCTCTTAATGCTCAACAGAAATGGGTCAGCTTTCAGGCGCCTTGGTCTCCTCAGAATGGGGTCTTGATTGTTTTGGTCTCCATAGAATATTGTATGAGATGATCAATATGATACAGCATGATATACCAGGACCTTCCAACAGGTGGTTTTTGGATACCCCTTATAATCTCTAAAAGAGGCCATGTATAAGACACCTCTTGGAAGGTCCTGGTATATATACAGTCAGTCGCTAATTTGGGCTTGAGCCTCATGGTTGCGCAGGTCTGTCTTGGGGCGTCTGCCATTGGTCGGTCGACTGGCCGACCGCCCAGAAGTCTCCGAACTCGCCCTGCGATCAAGGGAGCGTCGCCGGGACTTGTCGATCGGAAACTGGAACGTTCAGTGTTTTTCCCCATTTATAGCTGCTACGTCATCCAACCTACCTTCCGTAAACAGGCCACCAGACATAGCACCCAGACAGCAAGTGCTAGGTATAGGGGTACAGATCTACATACAGATCATGCAATACGTCGACGTACGAGTCACGTCGACCCATCAAGCAGATCGAACAGCGCGGGCATCGCACGGGCCGGGCTCGTCTTCACGGCTCGTGGTCGCTGGTCCGAGCCCCCCCCCCCACCGGTGCCCGCGGCGAGTCGGGAGAGGCTTAGGGGATCGGTGGGGATCGGGCGCACCCAGGTTGCGTTCACAGCGTTCGCAGAAGAGAGCCACTCGCATGGCCTGACGGAGAAGGCGGAGGTCGCAGTCTACGTCGTGGCATGTGACGTCTACGTGTGGGGGGGGTCCTGCTGGGCCTCTTGCATACATGGTGGCACCCCATCTTTGGATGAAGTCTCCCAAAGAGATCCAATTCGAAGGACCAAAGTGAATGCCAAGAGATAGCAGGACCCGGAACGGACTGTCACCGGCGTACCCAACTGGGATATAGTGGTTTCAGGCGGAGGCCCAGGCAAAGGCCCAGGAGAAGGAGGACCCTTCCTGCAAGGTCCTTGAACCCAACAAGACCGTGCTTGGGAGGTCCAGGAAGTCTTGGAGAGGTGCTTCAACTTCAAGCTGTTGGGAGCCCCCCAGTCAGTCCAAACCAAGTCAAACGATGGTGGAAACCAGCCAGGTCTTCAAGTCAGACATCATCTCTAGTGCGATGGGAAATGGTGTCTGAATGGTCTTTCTTTCGCAGGTGTTCTGATGGTTCAGGTGGATTGGGCAATTGGTTCAACGCCCGTGTTGGAACTTGCAAGCGACTTATCACAGAACAAGTTACAGTACTTGACAGGGACAGGGACAGGGACAGACAGAGAGACAAACAGACGACAGACACAGACACAGAGAGACAGAGAGAGAGAGAGAGAGAGAGACCGTCCTACTTTTGCCCTGTGTTGGGCCGGCGCCCGGCTGTCAGGCGTAAGCCTTAAAATATGAATGAATCCAGATCAAGCGCCACCTGCGAGCCTTTCTTGGCTGGGTGGGGCTCGTCCTTGATGAAGACATTCTTTGGATCAATGAGCCCTTTGCTGTAGGACTGCCACGGTGTAAAGCCGTGAACCTTGGGGGCATAGAGACGAGGCGCACGATGACCCTGCTACAGACGAGGCGCCAAAGCGTGTCTCTTTGGCAGCAGGGTTGTTCTTCCAGGTGCCTTTCTTGCCTGCCTTGTAAAATTCAGCCCATCCAGTGGATTTGTCGGACTCTGCCTCATTGAAGAGGTTCTTAGCGTGCTCGAGTCCTGTTGGGCATGGAACATAGTTGTCTGCAAGAAAGGGCTCAAGATGATCATCGATCTTCTTGAGTGTGGCATCTGAAGGTTCAGCAATATGCTGGCGCTTGCACTGTCCGATGAGACTTTCTCGAATCTCATGAGGCCCTTTAGGCGGCAGTTCATAAACTCTGACTGAAGTCAAGATGTCTTTGATCTCCTGCTTCTCATTGGGAGTGCGCTTGTGGATGTCTGCTGGAGCTCCATCTGCTGTGATTACACCACACGCAAGAACAAAAGCATACGCGGAGTCTGTCGCAAGTGGGTATTCTGAGATGAACTTAGGATGACTCCGGTTGTTCAACCTGCTTTCAAATTTTCCCAATGGCACGGTCAAACCGGTTGGGAATGGCCCTTGTCGCACCCTCGGGACCTCGCTTGACGCATCGTCCACGAAGATAGAAACAAGGCTTCCCGTCTGAATCGCGCAAAATGCGGAAATCATCTCGGTGCCATGGATCAGGCTCAGTGATGACAGAGTACGGCTGACGAGGATATTCATCAACAGAACCTACGCCAGTGAACTCAAGATAGTTCTTGAAGTCCTGGTAAATGTCGCCGAGCACGTCAAGAACGTGCTGTTCTGAGTACTCTTCTTCAAGAACCTGTGCTGCGCGCGCGAGAGGGGGAAGATGTTCCCACTTGCCTTTGTAGACCTGTGCAGCATGGGTCTTGATAAGCTCGGCAAGACCATGGGCGAGCTGAACCTCATCTTCATGATCAAGATTGTCAAAGTCATCTTGAAATCTGTCTTCGAGAGGTTGCTGGAAAAGCCCAAGAGGGGTAACGCCTTGGTCTCCAATGAATCTTGGATATGGTCGTGCATACCCGCCGGGTTCATGATCAGGCTCAGAGGCTGAGGAAGTTGAATAGCGAGTGGAGGAGGAACCACCCGTGCGCGAATCACCAGGATATGGTCGATGGATTCCTGGCGGTTGCTTGAGATACGTACCACTCAGTGCGAAGCTTGTTGGCAAGAGCTTCACGCTGGAGGATTCTCTCAGCTTGTAAATTGGGGCGGCGCGTTTGTACCGCATCGATGAACTTCTGCTGCAATGCTCGCAGGGAATGATCTGGAGGTTTCGTGGGCAGAGAAGTCTCAACCTTCTTCTCTGGCGCTGCTTCGACGCTGAACGCTGTTGCCTGCTGCCCATTCTCAAGAACTTCGAGCGATGCGTCAGTGACGAGATTCTCCTTCGAGCTTCTTGAGGAACTCAATGACGTAACATGTAAATCCATTCGCTTCATACTTAGCCTTCAAAGTGAAGGTGCTTAAGTCACCAGTATCCCGTATCCAAAGTAAACAGTCATGGGAAGGAGCTGCAAGAAATGACCAAGTAGGATTGCAGTCGGTGAAGATGCGGGAATTCGTCACAAAAGACAGACCGCGGACCGCTCCCAGCGCCCACCTCGCAGCGGTTCACAAAGAGGAGATCCGAAGCTTCCTCTGCTGATTCGGAAGGGAAGGAGGACCCAAGGAGCTATACAGAAAGGCTACCACCTGACGATCTCGGTGGTTGGAATTCTTGTTCTTCAGTCTAGAACCTTGATTTGTTTGTTCTGTATAGCTTCGGCATGCTTCGGCTATTGAAATACCCATACACGACCCATGGGACTGCCATAGTTCTGCCAAACCCCTGGCAGCACCACCCGTGCCCGTTTCTCGGCAGTCCTCTTGTTCAGTTTAGTTTTTGGTACGTACCACCCTAGGTTGTCTGCCCTGCGTTAGCTTCTTCAAGCCTTCAAGTTTTGTAGGTGCCGTCGAAAGATGGTCTCCATGTTTTATCTATGAACCACCCAAACGCTCCAAACAGCCTGACTGGTCCCTCAAATTCTAGGGATTGGTGAGAAACCCCAGACCCCTCCAGAGGATTCGGGCCCAGGGTCGCGTCTGGGCAAGCTTTAAAACCACCCTAAGGATCCTTGGACCCTCCTTAGAAGGGGTCGAACCCTCTATAACAAGGGTTTGTACCCTCATGTATCCTCAAAACCCTTGTTTTTGAGGGTGCGGATCCTTAGGGCATAAAGAAGCTGAGCACAGGCGGTGTTCATCACCGGACCCGGACCCGTGCGTCTGTGTTCACGACGTGGAATCGATCGATGAATCGTACGTGGCACGTGGTGGGAGACACTCATGGTACCTAGAGTCGACCTGTGAGTTCGTACCTCGGACCAAAATGGGAACTCACATGGAAGTGGATGGCACCACCTGTTTGTAGAGGATTTCGTCTTCCAAACTCGAGGCCAGGCCATCCACTTCCACCATGGGGCCGTTCCGAGTGCACAAGATGCTACAGTCGCACCAGCCTGGCTGGTCCCTCCAGATTCTAAAGGACTTGACGTCGGGTCCAGGTAGGTGACTGCAGTAGCACCTGCTTTTCTTTTTTAGCCTCTTCAAGCTTGGGGGTGCTTTAATCAGCAATCAAGAGTCGATTTACAAGCCAAGACCTGTTTCAAATTGATATTATTCATGTGTGGTTTACCCCTGGGAATCGATTCCCATGGTAAATCAATGGTAAATCAGATGAACGACGACGACGACGATCCCCTACAAACCCGACGACGTGCACATGTTCACCCTGAAGCATCGGCAGTATCGATTTCACCCGACGGGAAGACAGCCGGTGCGCTACGACGGGGAAGACAGGCATGATGAGCTGGAAGCCAAGAGGGGACATCACCAGCGGCCAGATGTGCCATACAAGCTGTGAACAATAGCGGCCCTAAATAACCCAAAATAACGCTTTTCACACAACAACAACAACAACAACAACAACAACAACAACAACAACAACAACAACAACAACAACAACAAGAAGAACAAGAAGAACAAGAACAAGAACAACAACAACCACAACCACAACCACAAACACAGACACGGCAACAGCAACAGCAACAGCAACAGCTGGCATGCTGTCAACACATGTCAAAACGAGTAGTGGATCCATGTTCCGCGAAGTGGGACACGTCCCCAACCACTAGCTTCTTCCGCTTCCAGGGCGCGCAAGAAGCTCCCCGCGTCTCGCAGAAGTCGCTGCAGGATTGCCCGGTCCTGCGTTTTCGTGTCAGCCCTTCACGGACTCCGAACTCGAAAGAGTTGAGGCCATGCCGTGAAGTCCATGAAGTCTTTTTTGGATCAACACCCAGCCAGTGGCACTATTCCCGTGTGCACATGTACATCAGAGGCCAAGTCCCACATTCACATGTGAGGCATGCGCATGACGTTAAAAGAATCCTGATATATGACCGGTGCGACACAGATCTGCGACACAAGGCCACAGGACAGGACCAACCCACCTTCAGCAACGCAACCGCCTTCCTGGCTTGGCTGGAGGTGGTACATGGGTGTAAAGGTTTAATGGGGAGACATGACTGGACCAATGGGGAGACTCCTGGAAGCCCACAAAATCAGCCAGAAGAACATGGAGGGAACGAAACCCAGTCCCAGCCATTTCCTATGTAGAGGATCTCAAGCTGGCGCCAGGCTCGGGTTCAGGCTAGGACTAAACCAACCCCGCCTCAATCATCCAGGTACCAGGACCTTCCAACAGGTGGTTTTTGGGCACCCCTTAACCATTAAGTGGCTATTTATAGACACCTCTTGGAAGGTCCAGGTATAGGACAAACCAACCCCTGACCCCTGACCCCTGACCGAAGACACCTCTCCTGTCTGCGGCTAGCACGTCACCGGTGGCTGCGAGAAGTAGCGGCCGTGAGACTTCTTGGAAAGCCTGCCGTGGAAAACCCAGAAATCGATTCGCCTTCAAGGACCATTCAGTTGGAAGGGTTGAGCTGGTGTAGTGTAAAAATTCGGAAGTAAAACAAGGGTTCTTTGGGATTCAGACCAATAAAACACGGGTTGTTTGAACAGAGGTTGAAGAACCTTATATAGAGTATCCTATATAGGTACCCCACTAGGTACCCCTTGTAGGGTCCTAGTTCAGGTCACTGGATACCTCTGTCGGGATTCATTCTTCACGCGAGAAAAGTTTAACAACCGCTCCGTTCACAGCCCGACTGGTTCCTCAAGACTGATTCGGGATTGGTTCAGGTCCGGAGTAAGGACCGGTCCAGGGTCACGTCTGGGTATCTCAATTCATGTCTCAAAAACTCTCAAAGCCAACCATATCTGAGATCCACTCTGAGACCTTCCCTTTCAGTCTGACAGGGCCTTTTTTTACCCTCGCTGCACCCTTCCCTTTTCGCTGCGCGGCCACCAGAGCGCCAACCCCGTTGCGCCTCGGGTGGCACCGCCTCTCCTGGCAGCGGGCGAAGGCGCGCCTGGTGAGCGATGGTCGGGATCGGAGCGATGTGTGTTGGGAATGAATGGACGCGACCCTGGACCCTCCGTTCAGGGACCGTACCCGGTCATCCTCTGAAAGGGGATCCGGACCTTCTCATGAATCCCTATGGTTTGGCCCTGGAAGAACTAACATAGACCCTGACGTCCTGGCCCCCTGGGTCCGAGTGTTTTCCTCTAGCAACCAGCGGTTTTCAGGGTCCATGGGATCGTCTTTCAGAAGGTAGACTTGGCTAGACTGGAACTGGAAGGTCGGATGATTTTGAGGTGCCATACCTGGATCTTCCAACTGTGACACTTTGGTCGGATGAGTCCGTCTCTTCATTATCATGGTCTCAAGCTGCTCTTATTCTCCTCGGTTGCACTTTCTTGCTGCTTAGAATTTGCTTTGCACCAGGTGGACTATATGACTATATGTGGTGGTGCTATTGGGGTAGCCATACAAGACAGCCTTCATGTTTCCCATGAAAAGTATAATAGGTTGTCGGTTTTCATATACAAAAACAATGTGTTGCTTTTTTGCATGGATAAACCAGGCTTTTGATGTGTTTTTTGTGGGGCGCCCGGTGAGGGTTTGCTGTTCTATATAGTCCTTTTCTCACATGGCCCACAGCATGACTTTGTCCATCACCTCACTGAGTCTTGGGAGATGTTTGAATGGCACCTCTCTGCCATTGATTTCATCCCTTTTCCCCCAAGTCTGATCCCCCCTTCTTCGCCCCCCCCTTTTTCCCTTGTTGACCGAGCTTCGGCGCCTGCATGACCAAGGAAGACGAGGAGGCCAACAAGAACAACACACCTTCCGGTCAAGCACGGCACGCGCGCGATGGGGTCTTGGGATCGGTCCTAAGACCCGGTTCGCATCGCTTCGTCCGCAGGTCGCGACGGAAGAAGAACGCCACGTCGGACGGGCGGAGATGGAAGGGTCTTTTTTCGAGTGGATGGGTATAGGTCTATATGGTATTATACCAGGTGGAACATGGAGGAGTGGAAGGGATTTCAAGAATCTTGGAGTCCTGATTTCTGTGAAGGGCCACCTTTTCCAAGGATCAAGTAAAACTTCGCTCAGCTTTGACATTCTTGTTATGTGTCGTTCCATGGCCACCTGGTATTTCTTTGAGAACAGCCACTTCACCAGCAATCCTTGAACCCATGGATGTTGATCCTTCTCACTATACTGTTGGGTTCCTTTATTGCTGGCGATTGGGCGAGTCGCCGCATGCGACAGCGGTCCAAGTGAGTGAGCAGGCCAGTGTTGAAGGCATTGGGAGCCTTCGCAGCAAAAACACAACACGTCTACCAGGACCAGACCCGGTCAAATGAAAGGTACAAGCAAAAAGGTCAAATGAAAGGTCAAATGAACGTGCAGAGCGGAAAACCCAAGTGCTCTGCATGACCAGGGCGCGCGCGCGCGCGGAACCTGCACGACCTCATGCACACGACCAGACCCGGTCGCAAGACCGCTATACGACCCGGAGACCAACTCCCAACTCCGGCTGATTCCGCACCGGACGAAGGGAGTTCGGTCCGCTACGGACCGTAGAGTCGGGTCTTCGCACTCCCGGCCAGGGATCCAAGTACCGAACATTAAGGTGATTGGTTCGACAGAGTTATGTAGGTGCCAAGTCACGTCGGGTCCAGGAAAGTACCGAACCTGAGAAACCTGGATCCCAACGGGATCTTCGATCTTCTTTGCCAACACCAACGCGGCTTTCGCCGCGCTTCGCCGCCAGGGTCCGCCACGGCGAGGGAGGGAGGTAACCAGCATCGACGGTGACGACTTGACCGATCGACCTGCGCTGGTTGGAGACTTTTGGACCACAAAACCCACCAGCATCTTCCGTTCGGGGTCACCTGGCTGGTTTCGCCCCAGCCCACTACGATCAGGGACCTCCAGCAAGGACACCCCGAAAGAAGGTTCAGGCAGACACGACCCGCAGGGATATGCAGGGCACCTCTTATCACAAGATGCCTCTTCATCGACATCTCAGATTGACCTTCCAAGCCGTGCCTTATACTCTTGAATACTGCACCCCAAGAAAGGGCTATCCGTAGCAACTGTTACCAAAAAACAGTCTCTTGGAAGGTGGTTCTTGGCCTCACCAACTATTTCGCCCAAACGATTGGAAGATGTCATCCCAAGTCCATTTGATTATTACAGAGCCAAACCCACTGTAATGTGTCAATTTGATATATATTTGTTTGGGATATTTGGGGATTGTGTGGGTGTTTGTCAATAACATGTTGATAAAGTTTGGGATTCATATATGGGTACGGTGTTGTACGGTATTGTTTTTTGTCCTATAGCGCCCTATAATTATTGTTTTTGTTTAAACATGTCCATACGATAAATTCTGTCCAAAGATGGCCTTCGCATGCCTTCGCACACAAAAAGAACGTTCATACTCCTAGGCCGTATGGGATACATATACAACTCCCAATGATGAAAAAATTCCACATACGACATGATGTGTTCGACACTGAGACATGTAGGTGTAAACGCAGGGTGCTTTTGTACGTACCGAACCTGAGGAGGTACGACTGGATCCCTAGGGAAACTATATACCTGGACCTTCCGAACTCGGGGTGCCCTGGACCTGAAGATCCGCAGGTGCAAGGGCCGGAGGAGCTGACCCCCCGAGTTCGCCGGTGCTGAGATGCTTGCTCCAATGCCGCCTTCAAAGACCATGAAAATAAGGGTTGACACTGGTTTTGTAGTTAAACATATCGGTAGCAGCACAATGGTTCTTTGATGTTCTTTGATAAAAACATTATGAAGACCATTAAGGCAATGGCTGCTGGAATCCCAGGGAATCGCTTTTCAGCAGCTTCCAGGTCAATTCGCAGGCCTCGACCACCCCATGGGATCTTGATCACACCCTGGAGCCTCGGCGAGGCCCGCGGTTTCCCCGCGCCCGCGAGACTGCGACACAAAGGAACACGTACAGTACCACAAACACGACTAATGGGACTGGTATATTGGCCAGTCCAGGGGTGGTGCCAGAGGGGTCCTTCTAAACCATGCAAATGACAGTCCCAGTCTGGGTGTCTGGGTGGCACCAGGAAGCGGGCACCAGACACCAAGTACCACGACCGCACGGCGGACCGACCTCCGTCCTTCGCGGAACAAGACCAGTCAAAATGGTGGGTTCGAAGGGTTTGGATCTGGTCGGTTGATGGGGATTGGTGAGTTGGTCGACCAAATGACCTAATGTAGACTCTTAAACCCCCCATTATGAAGAGATATGAAGAGCACGTCCAATTCAAATGGGATGGTTTATGAATCAAGAGTTTACATGAACATCTTCGAACGTCGTGGAAGTGGAACCCCCAGCAACTTCAGGTGGAACTCTCATACCAGAATCCGGGCCCTTCACCAACAGATAGGGGCCCTGGGAACCGGGCCCTTTTCCCCCGGACGCGTTTCGGTGGGTGTCGGGTTCGACCCCTGCCAGCTCGAGAGCCCGTTCGCTCGGATCGGATTCGCAGGTCCGACGTGAGTCACTCAGTCAGAGGTCGACTGGACTCCCAGAATGTCCAGATCTTGAGGACCCACACAGTGGTGGCTGAGTGCCCTCCGGCAGCTGAAGAAATCGAGCCTCAGAGGTCAGCTGGTTTGAGGTCAGACGTCAGATCGATGGAAATGTGAAGATAGGACTAGAATAGGCTATGTTGGAAGAGTATGTGTTAAAACTTTAAACATCATAAACTTCCCGCCGGGTGTGGAATCGCACGTGTAGTCGTGCAAAATTTGATTCAAAAGCGCAAGCCCTCTCAGTACTTTTGCTTGTTCGATGATGTTTTTTAGGGGTCCCGGATCCTTTCATTTTTAAAGCCGAATCTGCCGAAACCCAAGCGCCAGCGCAAAATCCGTCGCCGTTTTTGTCCCGGGCTGTCCTCAACTTTCATGCGTCCTGTCTCAAGTAGACTTGCGCAGTTTTTTGCACAAGTTAGTACACGTGATGTTTTCCCAACGCCACTGCCATCCACGGAATCACACGACTAATCGATGACAATGTTATGAAACCGATGACAATGCTATGAAACCGAAGATGACTTGTCGTGAAATCGATGACAATGTTCTCAGCATGACATCCACATCCTCATTCCATCACAACCTCCCCCCACCCCCCACCCCATTTTAATCACATGACTAATCGATGACAATGTTATGAAACCGATGACAATGATATGAAGCCGAAGATTACTTGTCGCGAAATCGATGACAATGTTCTCAGCATGACATCCACATCCTCATTCCATCACCCCCCCCCCCCCCCCCCCCCCCCCCCCCCCTCCCCCCCC